TTGGCCGAATTTAGGTGTTCAGGCTGACGTAGAACTAACTGGAAAAACCCACAGATTTCAAGACAAGATTTTTTTTAAACAGAAATGTTCTAACTTTTGGGACAATATCAATGTCTGATAAACAGTACATTTATATACAGGTTTAAGCCAGAATGATTTGACATTTAAATATGATTTCCCAAAACTAGAAATGTATTATTTTTTATCTTAATGATCCCAAACAAAAAACCTCATTTAAATAAACTTAAATACTTATTAAAAAATGAATTTATGTCCCCTTGAAGGAGATTACATCTCATCTTCCGGTTCTTTTCCTGGGAGCTACTTGGTTTGATTACTGTTACCTCAAAACTTGGTAAAACTATATAAAAATGACTAAAACCAGGAGTAAAATAGAGTTTATTCCAGTTCAGATCATTATGGAACAGAGATATTGCTTGGAGTCTGCACAGCAGTGGGCTAAAGTCATCAGTATGCAATGGCATCCAAGGTCATCTCCTGCTTCTGATACTTCATGAGTGTTTCATCAGGTGGATGCTTAGCTGTTCCTGTCAGAAACTGACACGCCATCCATGCCCTGACCTTTGTGCCTCTACACCTCAGGATTTCAGATAGCTCTTCTTTATCAGTCTGGCTCCAGGATGTTATCCTGTGCTTGGTGTACAGATAAAAACACTGTCCTCAATAGACAGCCTCTGTACACACAATGTGATGCACCCTGTGAAGGAAGGCCGTCCACCTAATCTAATGTAACTAACAGTTAGACAATACACATGACTAATAAAGAATGAACCTAACAGCTTTAAACGTGAATAAAATTAAAATCTGCTCCAAAATTCTGATTGAAACATTGAATTTAAAATGCTCTCAGTGTTTATCTACAAAGAACAGAAGAAAAAATAAATATGTATGCATAATAAGCATGTTGAAAACTTCTATTAAATTCATTAAATTCATTAGGGCAAGTTACAGTTTTAGATCACTTGCATGCCCCTTAGAAATGGAGTCTAGAAGCACTACATCTATATCCAGCCATTCAGCAAAGATTCTGCTGATTGAAAAGTTTAAACTTAATATACGTAGTTAACAATTATATCTAGGTTTATAAACTAAAAAATGTAAGTGCCAGTATCAGCATTATTGCCTCTATGTTGGGTCAAAAAAAAGTTTCTTTCACTCATGAATTTTTCATGAATTTCTTCTAGAAGCATTTTTGTTATTTTTCTTAATATATTCGGACAAGTTGCTGTTTCTTGTTATTACATTGAAATACATTTTTGCCATCATAAAATCTATATTTATTTAATATTACAAAGGTAAATAAGGTCATTTCCTGGATTCCAATGACACTATTGGATCGAAAGAAATATTTTCAAAGTATTTCACAGAGTTCCCTATGAAGGGTTAAGGTTATTTTTTATAAGCCTTATTCAGTAAAAAAAGATACAATAAAAAAATATGTTGTGATTAATAATTACGGATGCACGATATATTCGGCCCCCTATCGGTATCGGCCTTAAAACTGAATATCGGACATCGGCCACCCCACCGATATTTAACCCGATATTTGATCAGCTTCTGAGTTTCTAAAGTCTAAAGTAAATAAAAAATAAATTACTACTTCTTCTTCTTCCTCAAAAACTTCTTTTTTACAGA